AAATCGCTTAGGCGGTTACAGCGCCAAATAAGAAGAAGAAGAAGAATTTCAAAATGCCGAAATTTCAAATGCAAAATTTTTAAAAAGAAAAATTAGAAAAGTAGTATTTAAAAAATACAGAATTTTGATCGAGCAGAACTTTTTAACATTTTGCAGAATTTTGCGATGTAGAATTTTGTAATGCAGCGTAATGAGACGCTCCCTGAAAATGTTTGTTATTTCTCATGAACAGTATGTATTTATTGAAGTCGATTAGGGATTTCTCAAAAGTCTTAATAGTATATAATTTCTAAAATTTGGTAACACTGCGCTAGCTTTTCTGGTGTATGTAAATATGTATGTGTATGTATATTTAAGCCTGTTTACCTGTTGTGTGAGTCGCTAAAATGCTGCGTGCAAAACTTTATTAATTATTGTATGCTAATGCTGAAAAATATGCATTCAAACGTATGTATATAAGTACGTTAGGGTAGCTCATTTCTAAGTGAAAAGTTTCCTTTTCATGAAAAATTAGTTTTTAATAATGGAGAGATTAAACTTATGATTAATCGCATCCCAAAAGGTCCAATTAATGTTTATGTTTGTGCTTGCTTTTACTTATTGATACGAAACAAAAAAAAGCAAAAACTACCAATTATTGTTGATTTTCCTTAGCGTTGTAATATCTTCTCGGAGCCCCGTTTGGCATTGATTGTGAGAGTGGTTTTAAAGATAGGTTTTCTGGGGTTGCTATTGTAAAGTACTCCTCCTGCTTATTTTATTTTAATTCGAAAAAGGTGGGTTGCCCTAATAAATGTAAATACATATATGTAGCTAGTTGGTATATAGTATGCGGCAGCACATTTCTGTATTCCAGAGGTGACTGAGAGAGCAACTTTAGACAGATTTACATGTGAATAGCAAAGCAATTAAAGTTGATGGGCAAAATGTTGACCAGATTTTTATTTTTCTTTATGCGGTCTAACACCGAAATTCAATCAAACAGGGCTACTTCACGCTTCGACGAGTGAAAGTCAATTAAGAACTACGGGATTTTGATATTTAATTAATTTTGACTTATTCACTTACAGATATACAAATTTTTATATCGAAATACTTACTAGATACATATACTCACAATAAAATAAATTAAATAAATATTTTTACTCGTCTAACCTAACTTTGTTTCTTTTGTGTTTTTTTTTTTTTTAAATTAAAGCGGTCGCATTCAATTCGCTTTAATAAATCGTATTTACACTATTCCCATACATGCCTGCAAGTCCGTTTTGCAGGCTTAATTGAAAAAATCCAGTATGCCGTTCAAAATTTCAAGGGCAAAATCATTTTCGCCCGTCGAGGCGGCCTTCTTTTTCTTTTGTTTGCGCGCCTTCTTCGATTTTTTCTTCGACTTCACTGTGGAAGCATCAACAGCTGCGGGTGCGGGTGTTACAGCAGCCGTTTCATCAATTGGCGCGACGGCACTATGATCACTCGCTACCGCCGCTTCGGTGTCGCTATCCTCTTTCCCCTGTGCAGTGTCTTTGTTTTCAGCAATCCGTGTAGCGGGCGCAGCCGGTGTAGCAGCTACAGCAGGAGTGACAGCTGCTGTTGGTTTCTCTTCATCATCATCGTCCAATTCATCGAGCAGACCGGCCAAGCTAAAGCCACCATAATCAGCATCGGCGGGGGCCTCTGCGTCATCATCTTCCTCGACTTCATCTAAAAATCAAATTTATAGATTTTGGTATTCAAATGGCTATTAACATATGTATGCACGTATGTATATTACAATTACCATCTTCATCCGTTTCGTCCTCCTCTTCATCGGTCTCGTCGGCTTCCTCCGGCTCGTCGTCGTAGTCATCATCCTCGTCATCATCGCCACCAGCTTTAAATTAATATTCACATATGTATAAAAATTACTCAGTGTGCCCTCCCGTAATATAATCCGACGTGACTCACCTCCGAAACCGAAAATGTCATCATCATCTTCGTCCTTATTCACCTCGGTGGGTAGCGGTTCAGCTTCAGCCACTCTTAGACCCTCAGGTCCAAATTTGAAGCATGAAATGCGCAATGCTGCCTCCACCTCATCCTCAGCGCGCAACTCAAAGCCCAAGCAAGCCTTGAAATCATTCTTAGCTTTTGACAGACCATAAACGCGTCCACAGAATTTAGAGTAACCACCGGGTAGGCCCACACATATGGGTTTGGCGCGTTTGCCTGTAAAATAAAATGTTAATAATCGTAGTTTGTGCGAGAATATTGCATTTTCCAATTCAATAATTTTAATGAATTTCTCATAAAACTTGTATGCTCTTTCTCGTCACTCACCCGAAATCGTGCGAGTCGCCAATGTAATGTCTCCATATTTAAGCGATACCGACATACGCTCATTGCCCAAATAGGTAATCTTTGCACAACCGGGACCGCGCACGGGAATTATAGGCAAATTGAATTGCCGACAGCAATCGCAGTGATCGTCGGTACATTTACAATATTTGCTAATTGGATTTGGATCATCCTGATTCTGTACTGGTGTAGCTTCGGTCACTGCCGCGCTGACAGCCGAGCCGCCCGAAGCGGCTGCCGGAGAAGCAGCTACTGCCGCTGCAACCGGTGTAGCCACTGCAGATGCAGTAGTAACGGCGTCCACTATCTCATTTGCCGCCTCATCTACGACAGCGGCAGCTACTTCCTCTGCCTGATCAACGACTTCATCCGCAAACTGCGTAGTTTCATCAGCACCAGGACCCGAAACGTCTTCTGAGTTGAGTGATTCGATTTGTTGTGGTTCAGGTGGCGCAACATTTGGATCTATTTCTTCCGGAGGTAAATTGAGACGCTGAAAGGGGTGAGATATTTTATCTGCTCGTCGGAAAACGGTTTTCGCGTCGGCGCAAATGAAACCCATTAGACAGGCCACGGCAATACCGAGCAAAATGTCTTGATATCGCATATTGGGCGGAAGCTGGAGATTGGCAACTAAAAAATAAGTCGAAATTTTTTTTGTTAATTAAAAGTTTATATGTAAATTATTTGATGAATATCCTATGTCCTGAATATATTTTTAATCTACATTTTCTACATTTACAGAATTTGTCTAGATGATATTTGATTATAGCAATGTGATGCTTATTATGTATATAAGGACTAATTAAGGTAGTCATAGTTTCGTAGTATCTAGTCAGTTAATTTTACAAAACTTCCCAGTTGGCTCCGAACCCGTTGACAATGCGATACGAAAGATGAATTAATCCGATAGGTGGCGCAGGAGCCGAGATATTTCAAAAACCTGTATTTGTAAACCGAGACTTAAACTAAAGTTAACACTCTCAACTTACTATTCCTGAAAATACCACCCTGCAAATTGAATTGATGGTCACTTATAGTTATTTATTTAACAGCGAAAACTGATTTTGGCGAAGTTTGAGTACCTACCGCAATTGAACAAAAGGTGATAGAACCTTCCATTTATCTACGGTGACCATTCGTACCGATTTTGAGAAAATTGTACCGCTGAATTTTTTTAAAAAGCGGCACGTATAACCCGATTTTTCAAATTTTTACCGATTAAATCCCGATTTTCAGTGCTCAAAAATAAATTTCGTTATCACAAAGAACATAGAATACAGGGGAGCCACAAAGATGGCCAGTATCTTTATTTTCTACGATCTTTGGTTGTATTTTATTCTGTCAAACTGGTATTCTCGCTATATTGCAGTCATTATTCTTGCTACTTAATTTTTTTAAGGTTTTTTATAATTATTTTTGAAGTTTTTTTTTTTAATGAAACGCTTCTGACTTGAGTTTAGTGAAATTATAAAAAATAATACTAATTCCCTCAAAAAATGCATGGATATGAAAAATATACCTGTAGATACAGTGACGAAAATATAAATAAGGAAGGGACATTGTTAGAAAAGATACGGCAACACCCTAGTGAATCGAAAGGAATTTATGGGGGACGTTTCTGCGATTGTTTTGACATTCTGCCTTTTTGATCTCTTTTTTGCACGTGTGCACACATAAATTGAAAATTTAAATCAGGATTGATCCCTTTTTGTACTAAAGTAAGTGCTATATAAAATAAATGTAATTATCATTTATTGAACAATTAAAATAAATTCACAGATATTTCAAACGACAGTCAAATAAAAGCGTTTTGAGAATTTGGGCGTGGGATCCATCACTGAATCCGTAACAGACATTTTATTATTTTTTTTATGAAAGTGTAGCTTGTTATTTACACACATAGAACAAAACCCATGTAAATAAAACTTTGTACAAAAATTAGCAAAATTCGACGGTTTCATAAAAATTTTGAGCGTTTTTAATTCGATTTCTTAGAAACAGTCCAAATATGCGGTATAAACCTTTCAATTTTAGTACAAAAGTGCAAGTCTTAGGTAGCTAGCACTTTACTCTGATTTTTGGTAAATTTTTTTATGGAAGGTGTTGCCCATTTTCCCCACACAAATAAATTTTCAAGCATAGTTTGTATGGAAGAAAATACGCGAACAAAAAAATACCAAAAATCAACGGTAAGTCTAAGCTACTTTGAACTTGCACTTTGTTACTCCAAAATTTAATGGGCTACAAAAACTGCATGCTCAAAAAATTGAAATACCGATTAAAAGTTTTAAAATTTTGATCAACATTTGTTAAAATGCGTCGAATTTTTGTAAATCGTCTACAAAGTTTGAAATTTTAATTTACATGGTTTTTGTTTAGATAGTAGGTAAGCTTTATTTTCATAAAAGTATGAACTTCAGGGAGCTGTAAAATGTACATACATATGTATTTATTTGAGAACTTCTCATTGTACTCATTCCACTTGATCAGAATTAAATTTATGTTAGAAAAAACCACTAAGGTAAATAAAAGAACTCACAAAATTTAACCGAAAAGTTAACTTTTTAGGGTTTTCTGTGGTGGCAGAATCCTAGTTAACTTTTCCGTAGATTTCAACTGTTGTGGGGCTTAACTTTTCTCAGTCTCTACTGTAATAATTACTTTTTTGAGCGACAAAATATAAATCATGAAATAGTATTTAAATGCTGATTTAAATTATTTTATTTATACATAATGATTACGGTCCCTGCTCTTATACTACATAATTGAATATTAGCCAAAAAAAAATAAAAATGAACGGCATGATATGGCGCCAAACTACTCTAGACTATGTATGTAGTATGTACATATATAAAATTTGTGTTAAAAACAATAGCAATTGCATTGAAGTTTAAAGCAGCCAAAGTAATTTAATCAACGCTACTAACAATGCTAATAAAAGGCTTTAAATTTCACCTTAATGCGTTTTATAAAAAAAGTGTGTGTAACTAGTATGTATGAATGCATGTATGTACATATGTACATATGTATATATGGGATGTCAAGAAAATGAAACTGAACTTCCAAAGGGCAGGGTAATAATACAAATTAAATACATTTTAGCAAATAAAAAATGAGAATAGTAAACAAATTAAATAAACAAAATACGTAAAAAAGAAAACGAAAAAATTGCGAAATTACATCCATTTCGGAAAAGGAAGAAACTCAAATTAATAAAATTAGCCAGCTACATACCATATATACATACATACAAAAGGTACAAAAAGCGGTGCCCACTTAATATAGGTATAATCATAACATATGTACGAACATATATTACAAAAATACCCGAGAGAAATGAAAGTGAAATTGGAAAGAAATCTCCCAAAAACAGAAAAAACATATATGCATGTGCATGTGTATGTATGTATGTGTAAATGTGTGCGTCGGTGTAAACATTACAAAGATGCTGGGCGCGCGCTGACACAATTGAATTAACTTTTGTTAATAACCTGCCAACAGAACCCAAAACCTCTGTCTGAAACACAATCGGAGATGCTGCGAATACAAATAAATGAACCAATAAAAAAAAACAAAGCAAAGAAAGCGAAAATAAATCAAATCGAAACCATCGAAAAGAGGTAATGGTGTTGGTGCCAAAAAGAGGCAAAAGAAACGACGAGAAGGCCATGCAGCTCAAAGGTATGTATGCAAAAGGTATTCAAATATAATGCAAACATACTAACATACATTCATACGTACACATAATTATACACAATAGCCGGCTTCAGCGATGGCGTGCGTGTCGGCCTGCCCACCTGCCTGCGTGCGCGTTTGTATACGAGGACGGAAGTGTCCAAAGAAGTGGTGAAATTTTATATTCACAGTTATGTGCTTGCGCATACATACATACATACCTGCTTGTGTTATAATTTCTAGTTGCTACTTTGTTATTATTAGTAATGGATAGAAAGTGTGCGACAATGACCAAATTGTAAATAGCAACAAAAGCAAACAATAAACAAATGATAACATTTAAAGTAGACGGCATGATAAGGGTCACAGCAGTAAAGGTGTAGCTTAAGAGCCATCGTATGAGTATGTGTAAGAATTGAATAAAATCGAAACAAGTGCAACAAGCAAATGTGATCGCTTGTTCTGCCACAATTCCAAAACCAGAAGCGCCAATGACATAGTTGTGTACATACAAACATATGTATGTATATACCCTGCAGAAAAAAATTATCAACTGATTAAAATAACCAACTTCTAGTTAACTTTTTTGCGGAAGTTCGATAAATAACTAACTTTCAATTAGCTATGACAAAACTAACTTTAAGTTAGTTGTAAAGTCGTACAGGAGTCATGCAAACGTTATCGGGAGTTTGTTTTCTTTACAAGTTTCTATTTAATATCCTCATAGAAAAATTACTTTCAATACAATTTTTTCTGAACTTCGCAGACTCTTTTTCGTATTCAGGACAAATAAAAGGAAGATCGCAATTTTATATTATCATTTTGAAGTTATGTCGGACGGTGTTCGAATATGGGACCACCTACAGTAGAATATGTAAACTTATAAAATGTAATATAATAAGCAAGTAAAATGTAATAAAATAAAATAAATAAAAAAGTAAAGAAATAAAAAAATATTTTGTTTTTCATATTGATATTTTATGTTCAAAAGTAGTTAACTACAGTTGACATCTAATGCAGAGGAAACCGGTTCCCACTATTTAACGGTCATCGCCCTTCGAAAGCAGTTAGTTACGGCCAAGGAAATAGTTAATAAATAGTTACTACTAGTCGACTGCTAGTAAGTCAAGAGTTAGCACAAACTATTCCCATTTCCTGCAGGGTAGGTAGCCATTAGGGGATTCCCAAGACGCGTTAGGCGTCGTAAAGTCTTAAGGTCTTTTAAACATTTCTATGTAAAAAAAACGGTTAAAATGGTTTGAGGATTTGTAACTACACCAAAATGTTTTTAAGCAGATAGAAAGTATATGCATAGAACATAGTCAAAAAGTTGTACAAGCGGACAAACTTTCGATTAAAATTTTTCAGTATCGCGGTGGTGGGGTTGTTTTAGACCCCACGATACCCATTACGGGCTAAGCTGGTCAAATAATAGGTCTGATCCAGTACTCCATGAACTTACAGGATTTTACACGAACTTGCAAGAAGTTGCAGGAAAAATGTTCCCGTACTCCAAAATCCTGTAAAAGAGAGCGACTTTTGGAGAGTTGTGTAGAGAATGAAGTTGCAAGATTTTACCCGAACTTTTTCTTCTGGTAAAATCATGAAAAGTGTCAAGCAATCACTTGTTGACGTTTTTACAGGAAAAATGAATATTTTGTTCCCGTACTTTTTGTTGTTACTCACTTTTTACTCTCACTTCAGAGAGTAATTTTGCTGTTTGACAGTTTTACAGGATTTTTCACGAAAAGTACTGGATCAGAGCTAATAAAAAAGTAGCAGAGGATTTGAAAAGGTTAGTTACCGTTTTTTTTTATATCTATTTGAAGTTGGATATCTAATATTCCAAAATGACAATGTAGAATTTCTCTCTATTTTTTCAAATTTCTCTTTTAATCGATGTTGAATCAAAGAAAAGACTTGGTTGAGTCACACAATTTATAACAAATTTATCACAAAAATATTTTCAATAATACGT